GCAACTGCATCGATATCCATTATTTCGATTTTTTTAATAAAATGACACTGACAGAACATTTGTTTGATTATAAACAATATGAATTCCATAGCGATCAACGTGTAACACTAGGAAACCTGTCATACATACAGGGTTTTTCAGTTAGATTAGTCAAATTATATAAGTAATTGAAAAACATTTTTTTTAATCTAAGGGAACTGGCGTAGAAAAAATATAATACAAAACTCGGGAGGCAGTGTTCTTGACCAGTCTCGGACTATTTTGCAAGCCCTCGCTATCGCTCGGGCGCAAACAATGTCCTCGACTGGTAAGTATCACTTGCCTCCCTTGTAGTGTAAATAACTATTTGAGAAAAAAGCAGCTATGGAAATCACTTGCTGTGTAATAAATTGTGCCAAATCTGATAAAATGGATATCATTTATTCAATTTTCCAAAACAAATATCAACCATTCGCTTATGGAAGGAAGATATGAAACGGCCTGGGTGGAAAATCAATTTCAAGACGAGCGAAATTTGTGAGGTACTCATTAAAATTAGCTTCTTATAACAGCATCTGATTACAGAATGAAACTATATTTTAGGTCCAGTTTCGAACAGACGATTTCAAAATCTGTTTGAGAGAATCTGCTATTCCATCAATTAACAAAGCAGACGATTTCAAAATTCCATTATTATCATCACACAAAATACAGAACAAAATAATCATGGAAAGAGGAAACTAAGAAAAGCAAGGAAACTACAACGTGATATATTATTGAATGGCGTTTTTGATGCCGATCAAATTCAAAATTCAACAGTGAAAAGTGAATAATTATTTATGTATCAAGGGAACGCTGGAGGTTATCGTTTTGGAGATATTTTGGTTCAAGTTTCGTTTAGCTGAAATCAGTTATGGAAAATTTGTTGCTATGGCAACCGTTGTCATGGTTACAGGTAAATAGAAAACAAAATCCCGTGGTGAGGAAATGCATGGTTGCCAAGTATTGTATCGGGTTTAGTATAGCTGAAATCAGTTATGGAAAAACTGTTGCCATGGCAACGATCGTCATGGTAACGAGTAAACAAAAATCCGATTCCCGTGGTGAGGAAATGCGTGGTTGCCAAGTTGTATCGGGTTTAGTATAGCTGAAATCAGCCTCAAATTTTGTTCCACAAAAATTCTTGCTAGTATTCAAACAATAACTTGATTCGAATGAATATTCTTCTTATCAATTTCTTGAAGACTGTTCGTCGTTGATTAATTCCCAAAATTACTACTTCTCTGACGATCATATATGGAAATAACGTCAGGAAAAAATAGGCTTTGTTATTGAACAAATAGCGAGCGACAAAATAGTGAGGAACAAATAGCGCATAAGGAAGGATACTACTTTTTCTGAACAATCTAACCTAACTCGGCTTAAATGAACCTTCTTAGAAAAAATATATTTCTCAACATCGATCAGATTTGGGAGCAAGGCATCGTTCGTGTGTGTTTGAAGACTGCATAAAAAAGAACACTACTTTTTCCAAACAATCTAACCTGACTCGACTTGAATCAACCTTCTTCTTGGAAAACATATATTTTCCAACATCGTTCAGATTTGGTAGCAAGGCATCGTTCGTGTATGTTCGAAGACTGTTGCTGAATCAAAATGTGCGCCTGAAGAAAGGTATGGGTGAATCGAAATGAAGGCAAATGGAGATGTGGGTGGGGCTAACGAGATGTTTCCATCTGTATTAGACAATCAGTACCTGTAGTCTCTCTTCCTATATCCTGCGCGATACCTCGTAATGAATATTCCAAAATGGCTCTGTTTCTTTTTGATTTTGTCGAATAGCTCAGCACGCGAAGGATGGTTACATTGAAGTGTTTAAAAAATGTATGAATGAAGCAATAATTCTCCGATACAACTTGGCAACCACGCATTTCCTCACCACGGAAATCGGATTTTTGTTCACTCGTTACCATGACGATCGTTGCCATCATGGCAATAGTTTTTCTAAAACTGATTTCAGCCAAACTGAACCCTATACTACTTGGCAACCACGCATTTCCTCACCACGGGAATCGGGTTTTTATTTACTCGTTACCATGACGATCATTGCCATGGCAACAGTTTTTTCATAACTGATTTCAGCTATACTAAACCCGATACAACTTGGCAACCACGCATTTCCTCACCACGAGAATCGGGTTTTTGTTTACTCCTTACTATGACGATTATTGCCATAGCAACTGTTTTTTCATAACTGATTTCAGCTAAACGAAACTTGAGCCGATATTTTCTGTATCGATCCATGTTTTACTAAGATGCTTAGCTCCTAGGGCGCTAAGTGAAGTTGCTGAGAACTTTTCAGAAAAATGTATTTGGTATATCGATCCATGTTACTTAGATGATTATAGCTTCTAAGGCGCTAAGTGAAGTTGCTGAGAACTTTACAGAAAAATGTATTTGGTAGGTCTCGTCAAAATAAACTACATTTTTACAAGGAAATGTTTATCGAAAAATGATTTGTTCTCTGTGTTTCAACACCCTGTATCTCCGAAATGAAACATTTCCGGACACAAGTTTATATATAGACTTTATTTCTTAAAATTGTCTCAGAAATACTTCACTTGGACGTATTTATGTTACTTCCTGTATATTGAGAATACCTACCTTTAATTAAATATTAATAACTTCATGTTTTATACTTATCACTGGAGTACAGTTTGACATACAATAAGGATTTATAGCTATAAGTTTATCCATATGTGTATATTTTCTGATATTAAAACGTTGGTACATACATTCTTCTCATTTATATAACAGTTGTTCTGCTAGAAGTGTATCACTATAAATTGAAGTGGGTGTTTGTACCCTATATCCATTGTCCTTCTACGGCTATGATTGATTTGACAGAAAATATAACCTTTAAAATCGTATTTGACAATCAGGTGCTTCTAGGGAAATTGAAAAGACAAAGAGCAGAATATATGTCTTATTCTTTTATTCACTTTTTTTTTTTTTATTCACCATAATGTATTAATGTATATTACATTTCATTTTTTTTTTTTTTTTAGTTCACTATAGAATAAGAAATACAAGTTCAAACATATGTATAGCCAGTGGTATAGCCTAATTTAAATAAGAATATACTTCCCGGTGATCCAATATAATTCCTAAACAGCAATTTGAAGATTGCTGGTATCGGAATAATGATATTTTCATAACATGACATGTGTGGAAATATAAATTGTGTGATCTCAATGCAATACATGTATACCAACAGATTACTACTGTATCAACATTAGAACTACATTTAAGTGATTATTTTCATATTTACATCTACTAGTTAACAATAACAATATGTAGATGCTCCAGATAACGTATAACAATAATATAGAATATTGAAATAAAGATAATAAGAATAAAAAGACTATTAGTATTATTTAACAATGGTGAACAACAACAGAGAAAGCAGCAATATGGGGATACCAAAGAGGCCTATATCTAAATTACAATAATTTATTACATTTCCAAGTGCCGTTTCAGTTCTTTGTGAAATAAGTTAAAAGTGTCTATATTTTTTATTGTCATAGGTAATGCGTTGTACGACTCTATACTTCTATTCATTGGATTGTTCAGTCCAATTTCAGTTCTAGCATTGCCCAAGTGAATGTTAATCCTGTTTCTTGTGTCATGAGAGTGAATTTGGTAGATATGATCAAGATGACCATTGCATTTTTGTTGGTTGTTCGTGATTTTGTAGATATATTTGCATTGTTCCAGAACCAATATTTTATTAATTTGGGCAATTTTGGTTTGAATGTAAACTTCTTCTGTAGGTGTTCTATTATGAATATTGAATAGTATTTTAACAATCTTATTTTGAAGGGTTTGCATCATTTTGAAATTAGTTCTACCACATGTACCCCAGATGGTTATAAGATATCTGAAGTGTGCCAAGAAGAATGAGTTGTAGATTAAGTGGTAGTTACGTTCATCAAGATAATCTCTACATCTATACAGTGCACCTATCATTGGAATCATTTTTGACTTTATATATTCAGTATGTTTATGCCAATTTAGTTTATCGTCGATCATTAGACCTAAGTACTTAGTACTTTCTACTCTACTTATCAAGTTATCACCAACCTTTAACTGCATTTCTTTGCATTCAGTGTTTTTCTGTTTGAATATCATATAAACTGTTTTCGAAGTATTGATTTTAAGTTTATTGTGCAGCAACCATTTATTATATTTTTGAAGGTCATTGTTGAGGGAAGTTTCTAGATCATTAGGATCTATACCACTGTAAATCAGTATTGTGTCATCCGCAAATGTAAAATACCGACTGCCGAGGTCAGCAAGTTTTAAGCTTAGTACGTGTAGAGAGTACAATAAGGGTCCCAGCACAGAGCCTTGGGGCACCCCACAATTGATCTTTATTATTGGACTATTGAATTTACCAATACTAACATATTGACTTCTGTCAGTCAGATAATTTTCAAGTAATAATACCATTTTCCCTCTTAATCCCATATTGGTAAGTTTATTCAAAAGAGTTTTATGGTCAACAACATCAAATGCCTTTCTCAAATCCACAAATACTGATATTACTATTTCTTTTTTGTCCACTTGAACCATTGTATTATAGAAAATAGAAAAGGACAAAAGTTCAGCTGTGTCCGAACTCTTATCAAACTAATACCAAAGAGGAGATATTCTTTGCTAATACCATCCAGTGACTCTACCCAAATCTAATGAGAACGAGCCATCTACCAAAATGCATCTACTTCTCGAAAACCCATTTCAAGGTCGTGTTTCATGCTGGAAATAATGATAATAATATTATTAATGTACCAAAATAGTAAAAGTACATTTTCAGTTTAACGTGTGGTCATTGTGGTACGCTTTAGTAGCTGTGTGAAATTGGCAGCCAAAGATAGCAGCCAAAATCTCCGAACATTGCCGAAGACCCAGTGGCGGACAACATGTTTTTTTTCCATGCCTTCGAATACAAAAAACAATATTTGGGCGCGGCAACACTGTTCAAGACTAAGATAAGCATTTGTTTTGTTTAGAGAAAATTTTAGAGGTTAGATCTGATTGAAATCAGAGTTTTGGCTATGGTATTATTTAATAATTTTAAATTCAGCTGAATTCCTTGTATACATCATTACACCTACACCTTGATCGTTGCTTTCTGAAATGAGCCTCAAGTAATCTACTAATCTAGTAGCAGAAATAGAGCAAAGTCGTCCTATATTGAGATTCGCCACAATCAACTTTTAAATGGTGGAGGTGTACCATTCTGTTAGATAAGCAATATATTACAGTGCATCTCTTTGCATCCACAAGCTGCACAAGATTCTACCAAATTCTACTATTTCTGCTGAATTCAGAGAAAGTACTTGTAGAATATTCAAAAAATGAGTCAATCATGGCTGAAATCAAAAAGAAGGAAAGACAGAATGAATTTTGTAGTATTAAGGGTCATGAACTAGCAGTAAATATTGAAGAAACACCAATATATCTTAAGGTGGCAATTACAAGTCCTTATAAATCATTATGCAACAAATGTATGGGTTTATTCCTACTAGTCACCATTGATGCAGTTTTTCTCCTTGGCAAGCTGACTCCTATGTACATAATAGTTGGATTTCTGATTATATCAATTATATTAATGATTAATGTATGTTGGACCTCTATAGAAGGTTTGTATCTCTCATATTGATATATATTAAAAATCATACATAATTTCATCAATTTTCAGAAACTGTAGTTATAATTAAAGGTTTGGGTGTTCAAATAGAAACAAAATATGTTTTAGGATCAAAGTCTAATTTTATTCCTCAAGAAGAAGTACAAACAGTTTTTATCAATGAAGTTATTTATAGGGTGAGTCTGTTTCATGGTATATTGGTTCTATAATTATTTATGAAATTGTCTGTTCCAGAATAGAGTATTGTTCATGCTCACATTTTTGATCACAAATGGAAATACCAAAGAAATACTCATTCCATTATTTGTGGTAAGTATTATTCACCACCAGTGTGAAAATAGAAAAGGCATATCAAAAACAAAATAATAGTATATGCACACAGGTGTAAAATGTTATCACATTTTAACATTCAAATTTGGACTGAAACCATTGCCATCCAAATGTTTTGCATTGATATGATGATTATAATGATGAATTGAGGTATACACACGAATAGGGTGCTACTACCCCCATATATAGGTGAATATCTTCAAAACCAAATTAACTCATCGTCTTTGAAAATTTATTTTCAATAGTATAATTGAAATGAATAAAGGACACATACCTTCTTTGTTTCAGAATTTGTATCTTGAAACTCACCCTGGAAACTACCCCCCCCCCCCCCCCACCCGAATAGCTGAACATTCTGTAGAATCATTGTTCCTGGAAATATCTTTCTTACAATACAGGGTGTCCGGAAATTATGCGCAAAAAATCAAGGGGGTGGTTCTGCATAAGAAAACATGAGATCTATTTCATATATACTCGGGTCCAGAAATGCATAGTTTTCAAGATACAGTGTGTTGAACTTTTTAGAAAAAATCGGTTATTTATTAATATCTGAAATATCCTAACACTAATTCTCTTGTTATTTAGCAATGATATTCTTTGTCATGAATAGCTGATTTAGCCATAATTAAATTGGAATTGTGAAGTCCAGAGGCGTCCCGGGGGCACCATACCGAATATTATTGTCAATAAAATGTGCGCCACTGATTTTTTCAAATTCTATATCGTCATATTCAAATGATTAACTAAAAATACAACATTTTGGTCTCCTGAATTGTTTTGCTATTTTGCTGCGTTTCTGTGGAAAAAAATAAATACCAATTTATTGTATAAATTTGTGCAAAACATAGCTTCAAAACAGGGGTGAAATTGAATGTGTGATATTGATATATGTCCATAGACGTAGAATTATAATAAAGATTCCTTTTCTTCAAATATTTCATATTACATGTTTGACACACTTTGTATTATCGAAAACTACGCCTTCCTGGACCGAGAATACATATTTCTCTATATACAGAGTGTAGAGTGTGTCAAACATGTACCAAGAAATATTTGAAGAAAATGAATCTTCATACTTATTCTATGTCTATTCTATGGACATTGATCACGCGTTTATTTTCACCCCAGTTTTTCAAGGAATTTTTGGCACAAATTTATGCAATTAATTGGTATTTATTTTTTCCCATGAAAATGAAGCAAATTATCAAAACAATTCAAGAGACTAAAATGTTGTATTTTCAGTTGGTCAATAGGTTATGGAGATAAAGAATTTAAAAAAATCAGTGGCGCACATTTTATTGACAATAATATTCGGTAGGTTGCCCCCGGGGACGCCACTGGATTTCATAATTCCGATTGAATTATGACTATATCAGCCCCTAGTGACAAAAAATATTGCCGAATTCCAAAAAAATCAGTGAAGGGACATTTGAGACATGCATAAAAAACTTTTTTCAAAGTTTCAACACACTGTACGTTGAAAACTATGCATTTCCGGACCCACGTACATATGAAATGAAATTCTTATTTCATCATGTAGAATCACCCCCTTGATTTTTTGCGCATAATTTCCGGACACCCTGTATAATCAGAACAAACAGAGCAAACATACTACCCTGTTCCATAATTTGTATCTCAAAACTCACCCTGGAAACCATCCCCGAATAGATGAAAATTGAAAACGATGTAAAATATCGTTTCCGGAAATATCTTTCTCAAAATATATTCAAAACAAAGAGAGAAAACATACCCACACTGTTTCAGAAATTGTATATCAAAACTACCCCCGAATAGTAATGAATAAAACAATGAACATTGTACCAGTATATCACCTGACGAAGCTACTGTGTTAGCGAAACATGTGGTGTGTTTAATAAATTTTGTGGAAATCTTATCGTTTGTGAAGTTTTTACATTTATCATGGATTTCCATCAAGTAACGGCCGAGTCAATTCAAAATCTAACCTGAATATGCATGGAAATAGTTTTAAAAAATTAAATCATTATATCATTATAATTAGGTGGCCTATCGAAAACGGACCCCATCAAGTTTTCTCCCTTGTGACGTACATTTCTGAAATATCGCTGGGGCAAATCAATTGTAATTTTGTGGGGAACCCATTCCTGTGGTATCATCACTTCTTTTGGATTTGAAATCCTGAACCGGATGTGAACTTTTGATTTTCGAAAATAACAAACTATATACATATTATTCCTGGACCGGTTTGAGATGAACGAGGATATATAGGTAATTGTCGATTAATTCATCAATATGCGCCGATCCCTGCATTGAATTATTATGGAAAACAAGTCATAGAAGAAAATACAGGGTCGATAAAATTTATAAATCAAAGGTAGACTCAGACCAGGTTAACTTTGGGACAGCACGTGCGCCCAAAGTTAACCTGGTCGGACTCAGTTCAGTTCTAGATCTATGGTTCTAGTGGAATATTTCAGTTACTTCAGATTGAAAGAATATCATTATGATCAAAACGTATACTTAGGTTGATTAGTTTGATAAGAATCATCTGCCAGCAGTTTTCAAATAATCTGAACAAATTTTACAATGTTCATCAATTATTGTGGTGCATTTGATGTGAAATTTTCTGAAACATTCTGCAGGAATTGTTTATACTTTCTTCGATATCAAAACCACATACTAAACAAAAAATGCTTTGGGGTCTTCTGCTATATTCAATAACATGGCTTTTAGATATTCACGGTATTCGTCAATATCTTTGGTTCTCAACAAAGGTTGATTTGACAACATTTTTGTTGAAAGAAATAAATAATGAACACTCCACAATTATAAACATCTCTTTGTTTTATATGTGAAACCAACTTCGAGCTCGCAAACCGAAACATAAGTTTGTTTCAACTTGATCGTTATATTTCTGTAAGAATAATTCAATTTTTACCCGATATTCCTCGCTCTTTGCCAGTGAGGTACCTCTTGAATAAATGAATGTATTCTCCTTCATATTCGCAATTGCGATAACCCAATGATCTCTACTAGATACTGTACCTATGATTAAAGGCAACATGACTTCTGAGTCTTGACTAATTTTTGGAATCTCATCGAAAAAGTTTGGCAGTATTTCATTACAATACACTCTTTGTAGAATTTAATCAACTTTGGAATCATCTCATTCTATATATTTTTATTTCTGAAAATTCAACCAAATCATAAGGAGATGCACCAAAGAATGGAAAATTAGCATCAACAAAAAGTTCGGGAAGTGCCAGGGAGGTACAACCTGTTTAGGCGCGAAGGACTGAGTGAGTCATGTGAACAATTTGGCTAAACACGCATCCACTCTAGCGAAGACAACTCTAACCGCGAGATTTAAAGATATTTCCTCAGATCATTTTGAATGATGCTGCATAAGCATAACACAACAAAGTTTCCAAGGAAGGTTTTGACATAAAAATTCTGAAAAAGGTATGTCTTCTCTCTTCGTTTAAAATATACTGTGGGAAAGACACTTTTTCATCTATTCGGGGGTGGTTTCCAGGGTTTGGGATACACAATTTGAAACAGGGTAGGTATGTTTCCTCTGTTTGTTCTGACTATATATTGTGAGAAAGAAATTTCCAGAAACGATTAATTTACATAGAGGTAGTTTCCCGGGTGAGTTTGAAGATACAAATTCTGAAACAGGGAAGGTATATATGTTTCTTTTATTCATTTTAAATATACTGTAGAGAATAAATTTTCAAAAACGATGAGTTAATTTGGTTTTGAAGATATTCATCCATATATGGGGGTAGTAGCACCCTATATGTGTGTATACCTCATTTCATCATTATATAATCATCAAATCGACACAAAACATTTGGATCGCAATGGTTTCAGTCCAAATCTGAATGTTAAAACGGAAGAATCGATGTGATAACATATTACTTTTGTGCGCATATACTATTATTTCGTTTCTGATACGCCGACCGTTTCTATTTTCACACCGGTTTATTTAACATTATCTATTCTAGTTAGTACTATACTTTTATGCACGACCGGGCATGAAGTAGCAATTTATCATCAGATTTTGCAGACCTCAAGTGGCACATTAGCCCAGAAGGACCATTCTATCCCCAGCAGGCGCTAAAATAAGTTCAACTTATAATGATAGAAATCTTTATTCAGATTATTTTAATTGATGCATAATAATTGAAACATATATCTCAATATATATTCAGATATAAAGGTCCAGATACACTAGATATAACAACTTATGAACGTACGCCATGAATGTCGTGGACGTACATAAATAACGTCCATTGGACGTAGTACATGTAGTTCATATACGTCCATTATCCGTCCAATAATCGTCCAGATATAACATCTTATGTACGTACATGTAGGATGGGCTTACATAAAGAATGTCCATTGGACGTACCTATTACAAGGATCTTTCATACGTCCATTATACGTCTGGTTACGTCCACAAAGGTCCAAAATATGTCAAATAAATGTCCAGATACACTAGATATAACATCTTATGTACGTACGTCAGGGATGTCCAATGGACCTACATAAAGAACGTCCATCGGACGTACAACATGGATATTTTGTTCGTCCATTCAATGTCCAGATACACTAGATATAACATATCATGTATGTACGTCAAGGATGGTCAATGAACGAACATAAGAAACGTCTACATATTCATATGAAATACACAACTACACACACATACTACACACTACAAAAATATCTGTGTAATATATATTAGTTTATATTTAGTTAGGCTAAAACTGAAATAATTCTATACTTTCAGGACACCAATGGTATTCTATTATCGTTGATTCATATTTTTTTCAATCTATTAGCTAGATTCTGATTCTTTTTTCTGTTAAAAGAGAAAAATAGTATTAGTGTTCCGTAGTTGAGGGAATGTAGAAATCAATTGTCTAAATACTCTGAATCCTATATTATCCAGCTCAACTTCGACTAGTGCTGTGGCATCCAATTAAAATTCAAATTTCAGGAAGTTATCTCTATAATATCATCAGCTATTAAGCCGTCTATGCATTACGAACAAATAACAAACTCATAGGTTATTCACAGAATATCACGAAATACCTACCTTTCAGGGCACATAAAATTATAGATATAAAATAAGTAGGTATATGAAAAGTAATATTGAACATATACTTACATACCTGCTCTGAATGATTTAATAATTTATCACGAACACAACACACAAAACTCCATATGATATATGATCACGGTCTTATGATACAACTCAAAATGGCGTCTTGTTCTCGTCTGTCGTTTACACTTTGGAGCTGGACCATCTCGGTGTTGTCCTTGTCTGTTGCCCCACTTCATGATCCGATCAGAGCGCACAATCACGCACATTACTTGGACGTTCTAAAACTACCATACTATGGATGTTTCAGAGTTTCGGAAATCGTACATCCACTGGACAATCATTGGACGCACGAAAATAAACGTACAATACTAATCTGGAATCGTACATCCACTGAACGTACAAACTAATCCAGAATCGTACATCCACTGAACGTACATAAAAGTACAATTAGTGAACGTACAAACTGGATCCAATTATGTACATTTCTTGGACGTTCTGAAACTAGCATTATATAGATGATTCACAATATCGAATATTGTACTCCCAATGGACATTCATAAAACGTACAATATTGAACATACGTTATATTATATCCGGAATCGTACATTCATTGACCCTACATCATAGATGTTCAATTTGTGAACGTACAATCCAGATCACTCCCGTACATTTCTTGGATGTTCTAAGACTGAGATTATAATATGAATGTTTCATAATGTCGAAAATTTTATATCCACTGGACAATCATTAGACGCACGAAACTGAACGTACAATACATATCTGAAATCATACATCCACTGAATGTACATGAAAGTACAATTTGTGAACGTATAATTTGGATCCGATTATGTACATTCCTTGGACGTACTGAAACTACCATTATATGGATGATTCACAATGACGAATATTGTACTTCCAATAATGAACATCCATCAGATGTACAATTTTGTACTTACAATATATATTCGGAATCGTACATTTATTGAACGTACAGGGTGATTCACCATAAATGTCCCCCCCTCTAGCTCACTTATTTTTTAACCGATTTGAAAATTTGAAAGGTCAATTGAAATGGTTGCATCAAAAATACAGGGTGCTCGGAACAAACGATCTACAGAGTACTACCTACTTAATTTTTTCAAATGGAACACCCTGCATTTCATTGTATTTTTAGATTCTTCCTGAAGAGCTGATTTCATCAATGTATCACACTTGGGGTCTAGCAGGAATGATTACAGAGATATAGGGTGTTCAAAATCGAGATTTTTCAACTTTTGTATTTTTTTGTGTCGAAACTATTCATTATTGGTCAAAACGGCTTCAATGTCACGATCTCAACTTTTGATTTACTATCTACTGACATTTAATTGGAACATCTACAGTGTGGTTCAAGATTCAGAATTCTAATCACCCTGTATCTATTCCAATTATTAAATGTCAGTAGATAGTAAATTAAAAGTTGAGACACGGACATGAAAGCCGTTTTGACCGATAATGAGTAGTTTCGTCACAGAAAAATCCTAAAGTTGAAAAATCTCGATTTTGAACACCCCATATCTCTGTAATCATTTTCGCTAGACCCCAAGTGTGATGCATTGATGAAATCAGCTCTTCAGAGAGAATATAAAAATACAATGAAAAATAGGGTGTTCCAATCAAAAAAATCAAATAGTACCCTGTAGATCATTTGTTCCGAGCACCTTGTATTTTCTGATGAAGCAGAAAAAAACTCTATCAAAAACCATTTCAGATGATATTTCAAATTTTGCAATCGGTTCAAAAATAACTGAGCTAGGGGGGGGGGGCATTTATGGTGAATCACCCTGTATGTACATTGACTTTCAAATCGTGAATGTACAATCTAGATCCGATTCAGTACATTTCTAGGACGTTCTAAAACCTACAAATATGGATGTTTCGGAATATCGTATTCCCAATGGACATCCATTGAATGTCCATATTAGGTTCATGGACGTTTGGACATCATTCGGACCTAAACTGGACGTCCACATTACTGAACTTACTTACCTATTGCATAGGTAACTCATTATACATATCGATTTGCCGCTTTCTACTTATGGAGACACATTTGGTCGCTTCAATGCCTATAAATAACATAAGTGGAGAGCAGCATTATTTCAATGGCCACTATGATGGTATGATCATAAACCTCGATAAAAACCATGTAGTGAGCATTTCTGTGTAATTCATGACATTTATATTCTAATTCTGATCACACTCATTATCAATATGTTGCTAAATTCACCAATCCATGAATTGTTCAGCAAATCAAATTTAAGTATTATTCACATTCACCAATCTATGCAAAGCACAAAACCTTGATGGAAATCACTTTTGAATTTCGCAACATTATTTATAGCAAATATCATAGTTCTCTTGATATTTCTATTATCCTATTTATTCCTAATTCAGAAAATTTACGTAATGTGATGCATCATTTCTTGAATCATTGTTTTTTTTTTCATATAGTTATTCTGAATTAGTTATAACAAGTGCGAATAAAATACATTTTCCGCAAGAGTAAGGTACAATGTTTTTCCCACCAGTGTTTTAGTCCAAAAAGGTTTTTATAAAACAAGTTTTTATAATGATATGCTACAAAATGACACATAAGACAGAAAAGTTACATAGATCATTTAGTTAGTCCTAAATATCCTGATTTTAAACAATAAAAAAATCGTGCGGAAAATTGAAAATTGTGCGGAAAAGTAAAATCGTACGGAAAAGTACGATGAGAGGTAGAGGTATTTGGTTTATGCCACTTTTGTGTGCGTAAAGTGGAACTCTACCGCCCGTGGACTAATTTACCGTCCAGCGTATCGTAATAGGCATTCCTGTAATCCTGTACAATTCAGGACATCTATGTTTCAGTTGTGATGGTTCCTTATCTTATATTTCAGTTCTCTTGATATTTCTGAGTTGCAAAATTATATGACCGATCCCAAAATAAGTTATCTGTGATGACATTAATTGACAGCAAATATAATAGTCTACTCCATTGTCTGCTAAATATGGAGAAAAATCTAGTGAGCTGGAGTATCGTCTACTCTTAATTAAACAAAATGACTGAGTTACCATGGTAACGTCGATTCCACCAATGATATTCCTCACTGCAGCCATGATGTATTTCTATCGTTCTCGAGAGGTGAATAGGTATTCACGGTGAAAAATCGAATATACCGGTCGTGCATACAATGTATGTATTTCGGTCGTAACTATGGAACTGGGTCCATAAAAGCCTATTATACGCCCTTGATTCATAAATAACTATTATGTATCTTGGGAGTAACCAACTTTGATGGACCTACAGAGTGACCCATTTGAAAGCGGGCCACCCCTGTATCTCACGTAATCGGTGGGTAAGGATCATGAAATTTGCTGGAGCGAGAGATATACCAAAAATGCACTCTATAACCGAGTGGGATCATCTTCAGTGATATACACTGCTCGCCAATAGCCATGGAACCACCCCAATTTCCGGAAAATGATATTAGGAGTCAAAATAGGTTGAAAATCATTTCGGATTCGGAATCAGGACTCCCAATTCACTAACTCTTCATATTTTTACTTGAAAATTTTCAGTTCTGAAACATTACATTTTGTCGCACTTTTCATGGAAGCGCACCCCCGTATCTCACGTAATTATTGTGGTAGGGTTCTAAAATTTGCAGGAGGAACGGAAAGTCCAAAGATGAAGTCAATTACGTGAGATACGGGGGTGCTTCCGTGAAAAGTGCGACAAAATTTAATTTTTCAGAACTGAAAATTTTCAAGTAAAAATATGAATAGTTAGTGAATTGGGCGTCCTGATTCCGAATCCGAAGTGATTTTCAACCTATTTTGACTCCTAATATCATTTTCCGGAAATTGGGGTAGTTTCATGGCTGTTGGCGAGCAGTGTATATCACTGAAGATGACCCCACTTGGTTATAGAGTGCATTTTTGGTATATCTCTCGCTCCAGCAAATTTCATGATCCTTACCCAACGATTACGTGAGATACAGGGGTGGCCCGCTTTCAAATGGGTCACTCTGTATATAGGTGCATGTTATAATCGCCATCACTATCACTTGAGCTATTAGTTACATGCATGGCCCATGAAAGCCCATTACATGCTCTTCATACATCAATAACTATTATAACTTTTTTTTTCAGGAGTCACTTCCTCACTTGCCATTACTGAAACTAGCGTTGAATTATATTATAGCAATTATCAATAATACCTCATAACACAGAATTGATTTTTTGTCCATGTCTGCTATAACTGCCAATATCTGAATACTTACATTCAATGTCAGATGAAATTATTTCTAAAATGTGATTAGAGGTTGTGCTAGTTATTTACTATTTATATTTTATTACATCATAATCATCAGAGAGAGTTGCATCCTCCAAAATAAACACTCCAAGTAACCTAATAATCGAGTCCCATATTTGAAAAATGAGTTATTTGGTTCTAAGTTGCATGGACATGTTTTTGATAAATAAATTGTTTGGAATTTGTTACAAGTAGCTGTTTTATTCTCCATGAAAAATCATTCAACTATAGAGTAATTTTACACATTTCTACTTGTGGAACTTAGTATTTGTTAAATGGTAGAGAACATCAGCTTCGAAATCCTGGTTCAACAAGAACTGTTCCAGAGCTGTTGTCTTGACACAAACAGCCTACCATCGCTGGCGCAAGGGACTAAACCCCTTGACTAGAGCGGAATATGTTGAAGCAAACAATAGATGCTTCAAAAGAATCATTCAATGACAAAATAAGATTAAAACTCATAGATTGTCCCAATGGCTCCCGTTTGTTTCGGTCCTTCGCTTAAACAGTCGGAAGGAATTTCACTAATAGTTCATTCCCACCACTCTCCAAAGCCGACGGCACATTAGCAACAACATCGCAAGAGAAAGTCCAATGGTCCTGATGGAATTTCACTCAATATTCTCAAAAAGTCTGCACCAGAATTGACACCGATTTTCTGCAAGCTTTTTACCATCTCCTAATTGTCGGGTATTTTTCCATCTTGCTGGAATATAGCTAAAGTCCAACCAATCCCCAAAAAAGAAAACAAGGGCCTGCTCAACAACTATAAACCAAATGCCCTGTCATCTGTCATCTCCAAAGTGATAGAGAAAGCCATCAACATTGAGCTCATCAAATATCTGGAAAGCTCAGGAATCATCAATGATAGACAATATATGGCTTTCGCCACCGAAGATCAACTGGAGATTTACTTGCCTATGTCACCCATATATATAGATATATCGAAGGCATTCGACCGTGTTTGGCACCAAGGACTACTCCACAAACTACCATCATACAGCTCACCACCTCAGCTATGCCATCTTTTATCGAGTTTTCTTTCAGGCAGATCGCTCCACGTTGTGGTGGACGGAGTATCATCTGATATCAGTTCCGGCGTTCCACAAACATCAATCTTGGCACCAACAGCTTTGAATACGATAGTACTCATAATACTGCGTTCTCTTCTTGCGGAAATTTCAGCCTGGGGAACCAACAAGCTAGTTGAATTCAACGCCACCAAAACTCAAGCATGTACTTTCTCTAGAAAAGCGGAACTCAGTATGCCTGATATAACAATCTATGGTACCACCATTCCCATCAATATCACTATATCTATGCTCGGTATTACCATCAGCAAAACTCTCTCATGGGAAAATCATGTCCGATCTATCGCAAAAGCTGCTTCACAAAAATTCGGATTCTTGTTCCGTGCAAAAATTTACTTTACACCTCAACAGCTTCTCATGATTTTCAAAGCACAGATACGGTCATTTTTAGAATACTGCTCTCATGTATGGGGTTAAGCACACAAACATACGCTGATGCTCTTAGATTTTATCCAGTGAAGAGCCATTCGCCTGTTGGAATATGCCACACTCATCAACCCTTTGATCCCATTAGAACACCGTAGAAAAGTCGGTGACCTTCCACTTTTCTATAGATACTTCCACGGGGAAGAAGAGCCATTCGCCTGTTGATTGGTGCCACACTCACCAACTCTTTGACCCCATTAGAACACCGTAGAAAAGTCGGCGAGTTTTCACTTTTCTATAGATACTTCCACGGGAAATGTTCCTCAGAAATATCTGCTACAATTCCATCACTAGCAATACCAGTCAGACGAACTCGACAAGCCCAGTCAGCACATCATTTCGTCGTTAACCTTGACAAATATCGAACACCACTCTACCAAAACTCGTTCGTCTTTAGAACGGCGAAGCATTGGAATTCTTTGCCAATCAATGGAAGTATTCTCAAGAAGTTATCTCCAAAAGTTCAAAAAAAATCCAACACCTAACTACTCTCACTATTATTCCTAGGTACGCGCGAAATATTTCATGAACATTATATAGGAATTTCCTTTCGTGCGATCCTAGAGATAAAACAAAACTTTCTGACAAAATTAAAGGAGCGAATCCATGCTTAATTTGAAGATGAAATGTAGAGTTTTTTTTCCGAATGTTGCTTAGTTCTCAAACTACAATAAGGTGTTCAAATATCAAAAGTTCGAATTTTGTGTTTAAACCGTTTTTGCATTTTCATTTCAGACATGCTTCAACCAATTTAGTTAAAATCGATTATTTTATCAGGGGTCTTTTTAGCCATTAATAAAAAATAATTATCTCCTAAGGTGGTTCCGTATCTTGATTTTTTGTCGAGATAATAGCTATATTTATATATCAAGGGAACAAAGGGGAGGAAATGACCCTTTGCTCCCGTGAGATATACAGGGTGATTCACATAAGAACCGACATCAGGGGCATGTAGGGGGTCCCAAAATATAGCAATTTAACGCAACTTACCTCTATACCAAGTTGCTTCCATAGGGAGATATAGGCTTTGAAAGTTATAAATTTTGAAAAAAATCAATATCTCCGTTATTCTTGAACTTAAAGCAACCAAATTTGGTACACTTTGTGGATGTATTTAGAGTTCAATTGAAATTTGTAAAGGGGGTATACCGGGTGACGAACCATTAATATTCAACATAATTTTGTTAACACTTGATGGATTTCAAAAATCTTTGCTTTGTTTTGTGGGCAATTCGATTCTAAAACTTTTCTTACTCTAGTAATTTTTCGACAAACCTCATCATTTTCATCAAAAACTCGAATAACTGAAAACGCGCGCAATGAGGCAAGTGAGTTGTTCAATTAAGTAATTGTTGTTTGAGTGTTTTTAAAATGAACGGGAAGTTTTCTTTTAACGAGCAAGTTGACATGCTGTTAGTGCTATGCCTATAACTCCTTAGGGAAGCAACTTGGTATAGAGGTAAGTTGCGTTAAATTGCCATATTTTGGGACCCCCTGCATGCCCCTGCCCTATGTCGGTTGTTATGTGAATCACCCTGTATATGATTTTATCAATGAACGCATTCTCTTAAAGCATCATTCTTGGCATTGTGCTTCAGGCGTATAGTATGCCATGGACGTCATTTGAACCAAAGTCAATTTGACACTTTCTGTCATCATGAATTAATTGATTTGTATATTGTGTAACTGCATTCTAAAGTTTTGATTAGAAGTACGTCCAGAATATAAAGAAGCGTATGATATCATTGGAATTCAAACAAGATTTGATTGTTACTTGTTTTATAATAGAGATAGACACTGTTAACTTAGATTGTACAGATTTCATAGGTATATCCACGCCAAAGGATGCATGCTGAAACCAATTTATTTTACCTTCCACCGGAGTTAATATTTTTTTCCTCCTGTAGGAGTAAATTGACAACTTTGTTTCCTTGAATGAGGGCGGAGCAATCGCCTACTTTCGATTCAGTGAATAGATAAAAAAAAATCACTTTATTGCATCGACCACACAAAAATCATAAAACTACATGCATTTCTTTCTTCTGAATCGCTTGGAACAATAATATTCTTTGAATGGAATTCTAAAAACAAAATTTGAACACCTTTTATTTTGAAAACTATATAAGGGACATTCGGAAAAACTATTCATTATCGCTCCTTTCATTTTGTCAGAGAGGTTAGGAAACACCCTGTAGATGGATAAATTCTGCAACTTACTTACTATGATATGCCAAATGTATGGCCTTATCGATACTATGTATTGAAGTGTTGTGTAGGTGATCAATACAGGCCTATACAGGCTGATTCACGGTGGATGGCACATTAGACGTTTCTGGTGAACCAGACAACGGATCATTTTGAAAATTTAATGGAGGGCATATTCGGACATTCTCTAGCCAACTAAAATATTTTTGACAATGCGGTGTTGCCGCTTCTATTAGAAAGCAGTAGCAACTTTGATTTTTCAAATGGAATACTCTGTATTTTATTGCATTTTTAGATTCTCCCTGAAGAGCATATTTCATCTATGTATCATACTTGGGGTCTAGCGGAAATGATTACAGAGATATAGGGTGTGAAAAATCGACATTTTTCAACTTTAGGAATTTTTTTTGTCGAAACTATTCATTATTGGTCAAAACGGTTCACATGTCCCTATCTCAACTTTTGATCAACTATCTACTAAAATTTAATTGAAACAAATACAGGGTGGTGCAGAATTCAGAATCTTGATCACCCGGTATATGTCCCAATTAAATATCAGTAGATAGTTAATCAAAAGTTGAGATAGGGACATGTAAGCCGTTTTGACCAATGATGGATAGTTTCGACACAAAAAAATTCTAAAGTTGAAAAATGTCGATTTTTCACACCCTATATCTATGTAATCATTTCCGCTAGACCCCAAGTGTGATACATCGATGAAATCACCTCTTCAGGGAGAATCTAAAAATGCAATAAAATACAGAGTGTTCCATTTGAAAAATCAAAGTTGCTACTGCTTTCTAATAGAAGCGGCAACACCGCATTGTCGAAAATATTTTTGTTGGCTAGAGAATGTCCGAAAATCCAATGGAATTTTCAAAATGATCCGTTGTCTGGTTCACCAGAAACGTCTAATGTGCCATCCACCGTGAATCAGCCTGTATATTCAATTCAAAGTTTACTTCACCAAAAAAAAGGTCTCCTCTGTAATTATAAGTGATAGAAAAGCTACCTAGCTTTTCCAATAAACGATTAATAAGCACCTTGCTTTCAAGCAACACACTTCTTTACTTTGACAACTATTGTCACCATCACTATACCATCAGATATTTTTCGATTTTCAAACCAAATTGTCTTTATAATATAGTTGTGTTTTAAATCTCCCTAAAATACATTCAAGAAATGTCTTCTTTGATAAATACATTTCAAATTGTATTCAAATTTTATTATCATTTGGCAAAAGAATCAAATCAGGGAAAGATGGAAAACTCACTCTCTTGTGATATTTTATCACTATAAAACTCATACAATTAAACATGTATTTATCCATGAAAACATTATCTTTCATTTATTACCTCCCCCAAAACATACACTTGAAATATTTAATAGTTATTTATGTATTAAGGGAATTATGAGGGCCTTAATTACCGATGGCAAAGTTTGCGACCCGAGGGCCTCTGACCCCAGGGACAGCAATTGCCAGAGGTTATTGAGGCTCAGTAATTCCCGTGATACATAGATAATTTTATTTCTGACTGATTTCATTCATTAGATACCTTCCCGATTGGAAGTTAGACATGTTTTTCCCTATAGTTTCAATGTCATCAGAACGTCAAATGATGATCTTGACTACCGTGAATAGGAGATTCCTTATTGCTATGTTATTGCATGGTTGTTGCTATGCATTTCTTATTTAATTTTAGCTAGAGAGAATTATAGCATCTATAACATCCCAAGGGAGTTATGACCCTCATTATAGATATTGTAACTATGAGGATATAAGTTTATAATGTCACTGTCAGGAATAAAATTATTAATATAGTTTTGTTATCATCTTGTAGTT